TGGAACCCCCCCTCATTTCCACAGGGGAGACCAGGGGGCTTCCAGCGGTGGCTTGGTCATTGCCGGGATGGGTGCAGATGTCAGGGGGGTGTGGCAAAAGCCCTCGCTCCCCACCACCCAAGCTCAGGAACTCAAGGCCCTTCTTGCTGTGGCTCAGTGGTCCTCGCTGGGGTAGCTGCGCATGTTGGGGGTGTGTGGCCCAGACCTGAGGCCCCCACCCTCTGGACTGGTTGAGGGTGTCAGGAAGCATGGCTGAGGCCCCCAGCCCTCTCCTCTTTCTGGCTTGGTAGCCCAGGGGACTTCCAGTCTTTCTAGGTGTTATAGGTGCTCTTTGGTGAAATGAGACCTTTACTAGTTAATATCAAACTGTCTCTGGTTTGTTTTTTCTTTCAGTTCTGTGTTGGATTATTTGCTGTTCCCACCACTTAAACTCTGCACTGGAACTAATTTGTTGTTCTTTGCTTATTTCTAAAATGGGGGAACTTCCTGTGGGGACCAGCACTTGAGTTCTGTGGTTGAGCTAAATTGCTGCTTTGCTGCTGATCCCCTAGGGAAGGCTTTTTGTACAGCTCAGGTTTTTATGGTTGACTTTATAGGCACTTCCAGCTCTCAAGAGATCCGTTGCACCTGGGTTGTGTAGAAACTTTGGTCTGAGCCAGAAAAAAACTCCATGCAATTCTATATTCCTGACCAGTCTCCTCCGAGTGGTCCTACGCTGATTGGAGGGCAGATCAACTGTCCTTGCTGTGCCCCAGTGTTCCCCCAGTGGGCCTAACTCTTTCACCACCCGTACTCCAAACACTTACATGGGACAGGCCGTGCTCCAGTCCCTTGTGATGACTGACTGGCCTCTGAGTGGCTCCTTTTTTTTAAGTTGTTGTGGCTCCTCACTCCTATGTGGGTCCACAGGAACCCTATTAGTGGTCTTGCTGTCCTGGGGGCCACCAAGGCCCTCTTCTCCCCTGCTGCCTCCAAGCAACTTCATCCAAAGGGCACAGCTGTGGCTTTTGCCAGCTCCTGCTCTGTGCGCTCAGCAGCTCAAGCCTGGAAGCAGCCAGGGCTCAAAATGGTCAGAGTTGTTTTTTTTTTCTCATGGTGGCTTCTCTCACCTTCATGTACTCTGTAGGTCTCTCCTCCTCTTCCCCTTAGCTCTGGCGGTGTAAGGATACCGTGGGCGCTCAAGCATAGGGGGAGGGGGAAAGCATTCCCTAGCAATATGACACCCTTCCAGGTTCTTCTCCGCAGTAGAAGCCCACCGGCACCAGACCTCAACCAGTCACAGGTCAAGGCTCACCTCCTGCCCAGCCCCGTCCAATCAGCTACCGCCCCATCCACCCCCTATCAAAACCCGGAACGCAGCTCCCTATAAATAGACGCGCAGTCCTTGAATAAAGTGGAACTTCTCTGGCGAACTGTCAGCTCGGGTACTGTAGTCTTATTAGCTCAGGTCCCTGCGCCCTGTCATTGGTGCCGAAACCCGGGAGGAGTTCACCCTGCACCAGGGGACTCCTTCCTCAGACTTCCTCGGACCCCTCCGCGATCCCCCCGGGACTGACGGTCCGCCCTCGTCCATTTTCTCCGACGCTGGCTTCCTTCATCCACCACCGGCTCATCCGTTAGGTAAGCCCCTTTTTTCCTTTTGTCAGGCTTGTAGATTATTTAAACCTTCACCCTAATCACATTCCCCCGGCCCCGGCATTGACACGTTCCCAGCCCCGGAGGCTGAACCCCCCATTCCTCTCGCTCTCACTCCTTTTAACCTTCCTCCTACTGGGTCCTGGACCCCCGCCTTCCATCAAAACCCTAGCGTGCTAGGTCCCTCTGGCTCCAGGCACAGTTGCCTCCGGGAAGTGAGGGTCTAGGTGACGACCTACACCCCCTTCCTTCCTGGGTTCATCCTTGAACCCATCTCCTGGGAACGGCATGACTCATTGGGGATGCCCTCTGAGTTCCGTCATTCTCATCCAGCCAGAGGGCTCTTTCCAATCCTCCTTTTAAACCTTCTCTCTCTCTCTAATCCTCTTCAGAATGGGAGCTTCTGNTGGAACCCCCCCTCATTTCCACAGGGGAGACCAGGGGGCTTCCAGCGGTGGCTTGGTCATTACCGGGATGGGTGCAGATGTCAGGGGGGTGTGGCAAAAGTCCTCGCTCCCCACCACCCAAGCTCAGGAACTCGAGGCCCTTCTTGCTGTGGCTCAGTGGTCCTCGCTGGGGTAGCTGCACATGTTGGGGGTGTGTGGCCCAGGCCTGAGGCCCCCACCCTCTGGACTGGTTGAGGGTGTCAGGAAGCATGGCTGAGGCCCCCAGCCCTCTCCTCTTTCCTTCTTGGTAGCCCAGGGGACTTCCAGTCTTTCTCGGTGTTATAGGTGCTCTTGGGTGAAATGAGACCTTTACTAGTTAATATCAAACTGTCTCTGGTTTGTTTTTTCTTTCAGTTCTGTGTTGGATTATTTGATGTTCCCACCACTTAAACTCTGCACTGGAACTAATTTGTTGTTCTTTGCTTATTTCTAAAACGGGGGAACTTCCTGTGGGGACCAGCACTTGAGTTCTGTGGTTGAGCTAAATTGCTGCTTTGCTGCCAATCCCCTAGGGAAGGCTTTTTGTACAGCTCAGGTTTTTATGGTTGACTTTATAGGCACTGCCAGCTCTCAAGAGATCCTTTGCACCTGGGTTGTGTAGAAACTTTGGTCTGGGCCTGAAAAAAACTCCGTGCAATTCTATATTCCTGACCAGTCTCCTCTGAGTGGTCCTACGCTGATTGGAGGGCAGATCAGCTGTCCTTGCTGTGCCCCAGTGTTCCCCCAGTGGGCCTAACTCCTTCACCGCCGTACTCCAAACACTTCCATGGG